CCCTCAGAGGAAAGGAGAAAATTAAGGAAGAAAAATGCTGGAAAATGTCTATACAGCACACCACCCAGAAAGTTAGATAAGACTTTGCAGTTAGCAAAATAATTAATGCCTTGTATAATGAGGGAAGGGCTGTTTTAATTTTAAAATGCATATAAAAAGCCACCACATCACAAAATGCTCCAAGTACAGCTCACTAGTTTGCCTGCTGCCTGCCTTCTCATCTTTATGTGGTGTCCTTCCAGGGGAGGAGACCCATCAGACCCGGGAGAGGAAACAGACAGGAGCCCCAGCACTGAGCATTTGTCTTCTCACAGGCTAACCTGGAGCTCAGCCCTGCAGGATGCAGTCTGCTCCCAAGCTGCACCTCAGCCTCTTCTTTGCTCTTTAACCCTAACTGAAATGCATTTTGGAACATCACACAGCAGGAGAGAGCTGAAGACACTGTAAAAATGAGAGATCTGGCTTTACCCATACTGGCAGGGCATACCTCCAAGTCCTGCCAGGCTGCAGCTGCTGACCAATGCAGATGTCAGGGCACAAGCACAGGACCTGGAAGATCAGTATCAGAAATACATGCAACAAGAACGCTGCAAATGCAGATAAAAGAAATGAAATTCAGAGCTTGGATTGCAAAGAGGTGGCAGTACATGACAAAATGGGAAGGGAGGCACAGCTCTTAGGCATGAAAGGGCTTTGAATGCAGTTTCTGACACCTTGGAACAATGTCGCAGCTGGCTCTGTTCAACAGCCATCCATACCCAAGACTTGCGACTGGGGGGGCGGGGGGGTGAAATCCAGTGTCATTTTCACTGAATACTGCAAATATCTCCAGGCTTTTATGTGCTTTCTACAGAGCACAACCTTCATAGCAACAAAGCTTTTCTGTCATCCCCCTGGAAGAACTTCCCAGATCGCAATAAAGACACAATTCTTTGGGGAAAGGGAAGAGCCTCAATTTGTCCATGCTGGATCTGTGAACTTCCTCGAGAGTGACAGCACTAACCTCCATGACCACACAAGCACCAAATCTGACCACACAACCATCAAATCCTGTAAGGGCTGGGAGGGTGAGGAGATGTAGAGTGGGAGAAGGAGAAAAGGAAGGACAGACAGAGCAGGTCTGGTGCTTTAACAAGAAAAACTGGGTCTTGCTCGGTTAGCAACTAAGTGGCAAAGACAGAAGTGGGAATGAGATAGGCAGGGTGATCAAAACTCCAGATTTGCTGGGACTTCCTGGGCAGGCAAGCTTTCTGCCATGACAGAGTGTAATAGTAAGGAGGGCAGGGAGGAGAAGTGGGTTAGAAAGTAGGAGCAAAGAAAGTAAACAGGGCAGAAAATACTGTACTTGCAGGGTATAAAGTGGGACACAGGACTCCTGAATCCCTCAACATGACTATCACGTTGCGAGTTGTGAGTGAAAATATCCAGCTATTATACTATGTAATTATCAGCGGAAGTGTCCAATGGTCTGTATGATGGATCTAGAAGTCCCAGGCCTGCTGATATGCCATGAAAATAGATACAGATTGAAACTATTTAGACATTTAGAGACATCAAAACTAGGGTTGACTGCATAATCTTTGTTCACTCGCCTTTTATTTATGTATAACCATATATAACATATGGTTAATGGAGCAGTAAGTTATTCCGTGGACCTGAATTCAAACTCTACCTTTAGCCAAGAGTTCCCCTGTAACTAATCAGAACCATTTAAAGCACAATTTTACAGGTAATCACTGTGTGCCATATTGAGAGACATTCTTAGATCATTAAGATCAGTCCTTGCTGACACAGGCATCTTCTTGAAGTCCCTTCTCTGTGCTGATCAAGCTCCATCTAAAAAACAACTAGATGTTTTCGACGGTTTGTTTGAGTTTGCAGAAGAGGTGAACCCTCTGAGCTGTGCCATAAGACTCACAAGAGCTCTAGTTTATATGAGGATATCGGAGAAATGCCAAATTCTCTGGATAATCTAAACTAAATGCCAGATTGGACACTTAAAATTAGTAGCTACTTGTGTTATTTACCTTTATTTGCAACAGCTGTAAACTGTAAAAAGATAGTACTCTTACATTGCAGAAAGGTATTCTGAAAACAGATCCATTAATACTTATAAACTGCAAAGTGTTACTGAACAAAAATAGAAAGGGAGAAAGGGATAGAAAAAAGGATAGAAAACACAGATCTGCAGATTCTGAAGAGCATACATTAGCTACCCATACAACTAGATGCCTTAACTGGTAAGCTGTACAACAGGAAAACAGCTAAATCTCACAATTAAGCTGGTCAGAGCAATGGAAAACACAGTAAGGAAAAATATCACACAGCTTAATGTAAAGATATGCTGCAATTCTCTGAATTAACCACCTAAAGCTATGATTTGAATGCAAACTTCCCTGTAGCTTAAAGCTTGGTACAACAGACTATTTATCTAATGATTTTCATTCTCTTTAGTTTTAACAAAATATCCTTACTACACGACCATCATAGGCTTGTGAGTTGTATTGCATACGGCTCTGCTAAGTTAAAGATTTCTACAGCAAGCACTGACACTTGGCTGAGTACATTTATTGACCTTAAGACTCAATCTACTTCAAATGTATTTGGGCCTTCATTTCAAAAAAATACATGCAAATAAAATGCATTTTGTTCTAGCACAGTTCAAATGAAGAACACAAACACAAGTTACAGTACTGTGAACTAGAACAAGAATATCTCACTGAATAGGTGCCCAAAGCAGATATGGATACCTCACAGCATACTTGAAATACTTACTGTGTTTGACTCATCTTCCTATTCTCTCATGAGAAAAGGAAAAGACATTGCCCTCTTTCTAGATGCTTTGTAAAGCCCTATTTAATTGATTTAAATCAAGTTCAGTGAATTTCAGTACATTATGCAATTGCAATTTTTGGATTTTTGCATGCCAAACTAGTTTATAGAGGCTTAGCTGCTTACTTTTTGTGTGTTTAAATGAAGGGCAACTACAATATAATTAATGTGAGAGGACAAGCAAAATTCTTGGAGTGAACTTCGCAATTCCACACAAAATCCCTCAGTTACACTGCAGAAAACAAAATGGTAAGTCAGATTATGTTTACTCGGCTTCTAAAAATCTCTCTATCCCACTAAACAGCTAAATCCATCTAGGTCACAGAACAGGAATTTTAAACAACCCAAATGACTTGATAAATGCAAAAACTTCAGTAAGACTGAAATCAGCCTCTTTATATTTTCAAGGCAGAGTTGAAAACAGACTTTCTTACATGAGGTGATTTCTATTTAACACCAGCAATTTCCTTGCAATCTGAACATGCCGATCTTCATAAATCACAGTCTTGTCACAGCAAAGTAGCAACGCTCAAGTTTGAATTGGATGTGCAGTAGTCCAGAGTATGTCCTTTTATATAAGTCTCTTTAATCATTAGCATGGTTTTCATAGCTTTAGGTGGTTTAATGGGCCATGAAGTTACAGAGATACTTCAAACCAAATGAGTATCTGACCATACCCTATGGCAGGGAAATCCAGGAGCTAAGCAGGATCTGTCCAATGGTATATGTATGTATATGTATGACATGGTATAAAAGGAAATGCCACTTCATAAAGTGTATCTATGGGTATACAAGTGTAAAGACTGAAAACAATTTTACCTATGTCCATAATGCATACAAACAAGTCACAAAGCACATCAGCAGTATCATTATCATTTCCATGTTTATGCCATCTTTACGCCAGGGTCTCTACGAACAGGCCTTCTTTTCTCACCACATTTTAACTCCTTACATGATCCTGCCCTGCCTAACCGTCCTCCTGCAGGGACCGTATTTCCTCTTGGCAGCAGCCAAAAGCAAAGCGTAGAGCAACCAGTAACGCATACACACTCCTCCCTTGAAGAGCAAACTAGCCAAGAATGCATTGGATGAAGAGTGCAGGATATCAGCTTTCAGCTAAAACAAACCTAAGCCAAAGTGAATCAACCAAGGCCACAAGCCTTGCATTGCCCAGTGTCCTGTTGCACAGGAAGGGAAGGAAGGCAAAAATTTCTTACGTTGCTGACCAAGAACTTCAGAAAGGCAGCGCTCCAGAGGCAGCCTTTCATTGCTATAGCACTGTCATTGCTGTATTTAAGAAGATAAACAAGCCAAACACTACACATACACACCCCTTTGCTTCTGTATTTATATCTACTTTCAGATTGTCACATGCGTGCCTCTTCTCATTAACAGGGTGCAAACTACAGTTATCCACTTGCAGCACCATACTGGCTAGACAAAAACCCATGAGTTTATTCTGATAATAGCCCAGGTTCTTTTGCACATTCAAACTATAAAGTAGGGAAACTTCCCACAGCCGCCATGCTCCTGGGCAAAGTGTCTTTTTTCACTATCAGCAGAACAGCATAAACCCCAGACTTTAAATAGCATCCCAAAGCAACCACCACTTCCTTTCTCATCCTAAAGCAAGATCCTCAATAAGCTTTCAGTCAGTAAAAAGATTTAAAACAGGAAACATACAGCATGAGCACCAAGGAAAATTCAAAATCAGAAAGTAATTATACAAAATTTCACAGTCAAGATCAAGCAGCAACACCAGGTGGCTTCATCTGGAGGTTTGCAGAGTATTTTGGATGAGTAAAGCTGACTCAGCAGCACAGAGTAACTACAGCGACAAAGGTTCAAAATTTCCTATAATGCCCTCAGAAAACTGCATGTAGAAATAAACTATATAAAGACAACCGAAGAGGAACAGATACCATCATGCAAATAGCTATTTCAATATATGAATAAATAGAATCTTTCACTTTTTCTTAAATGAAACAAGTAGTTTCAAATGTTTATGTGCACAGGGAAATAGAGAGGGAACAAACATTACAGTATTTTATCTAGTTTTATCACACATTTTGACACATTTTATTAGAAGTATCCTACAAAAGTACATTTAACTAAAGTTGTTCTAAACTCTCAATCAAAATAAAGCAGTAGTTTCAACCCAACATTACCTTGGAAAACCGAGCATTTATCCATTTTGTAAAGGTCTTTTTCTGTACATCATTGTGTTCATCTAGAGAGAGAAAATAAGAAGAAAACAATGCGTGAAAATGCATTCTTCTCAATCCTAGATTGCTCAAAACAGGTTATAGTAAACACTGTCCTGATTCAATGTGAGAATTCTTTGCCTAATCTGTCAAGCCATTCAAACCTCTACAAGGGTTTGGTACTTGCAGAGTTACACAAACATTTCAACTTTGCTAGCAACTATAGCAGCTCCTTTGCATTAGAGTCAGCCTTACAGCACATCCTGGGCAGGATACCTATGCATTAAATTCACAGGCTTCCCATTGGGAACCTAAAAACTCCAGTTTATTAAAAAATTAAAAATAAATCATAGAATACTACAAAAAGATTCTTTAGGTAGGTGAACTCAAGCATCCAAAACTGATACAATTCATGTCTAATACATCTAGCTATAAATCTGTTATATTCAGGCTCCTGGGGCAGCGGAACAAATTACTAGTATTTTTTACCCACCAAACGTGAACAAGGGATAGCCGCAATGGCTCTGTCCAGACAAAAGAAGTCACACTGGGTAAGAAATGAGACATCACAACAGTTGAAAGAATAAGTTTTATGAAAATGTTCAGATAAATTTAAAGTGAAACCTCAGTTCTGGGCTCCTTTTAAGCTATGGCTGAAAAACTTGCTTAGGGCATGCCAAAGAGTGCACATCTGCTGCAATGCGGCAGCCACCAGCCATTGTTTCACTCTTCTGTGCCTCTCTCCTCTTCACCATCTAAAGCTGAGCCAAAATAGGCTACTCCTCAGTTGCACACTGAGCTCAACCAGAAATCAAAGATAGCCCAATGCAGAAAAAGAATTTTCTGAAAGAGCTTCAAGATACCTACAGTGCATGCACAGCAAGCCATGGGTAAAACAGCTCATTGAAATTCAAGATGTTGTTCTTGGAGAATACAATTACCTGAAAGATCTCATTAACCCTGCTCTCTTCCCTCAGTGAAGTAAGAGTGCCTTGCCAAAGACAGGATCTTCCAGCAGGATACTCAGTACCAAGTACCCATCTCTCAGGAGACTGAGGCAGTCAAGATACAAATCCCAAGTACACTGAATATATTTACACCTTTTTCCCCTCCAGTTTTCATTTGTTTGTGGAGTTTTTTTATGGTGGCGGGGTTTTTTTAGGAGACAGGAACAGACTAACTGCCACTGTTGGACAAAAAAAAAGCTAGCTTTGTACAAAAGTCAATCCCATATTCTGTCCAACGGTCAATAACGTCTTACTTTAGTTGCAAATACTATTTGTACTGAATGTATTGAGATTAAAACATCCTTCTCTCTCCCTCTAAATATCATTCCATAACCTCTGTCCCTTTTCTGCCAACACTTCCAATTACATAACTATGTACCAGGATGCTTTTCTAAGGCTTGGTCTGCCTTTTTCCTTCCTTAGGTTTCCGTTAGAATCAATAACCCCAAAGTCTGAGGTCTCGCATTATTTTAATGTGCCTGTATCATCCTTAGGATGATAAAGGCAAAGCACAAAAAAAGACCAAAAATAATTGTACTGACTGTGTAAAATGATAACAACAGTTATGAAAAGGGGAATGTATTTATAAATCCCATGTGCTAGGAGATCTAGACACCTCACTCTTGGGGTGCTCAGCCCCTTCGCAGGCACACGCACAGCAGGAAGTGACAAGTCTTCTCAGCACTACGACAGCTGCGGCCTGCCAGGACTCCATCAGGGGGCCTTGCTCCTACAGCTGCTCCCCCAGCACCTCAGGTCCAGTTTGTGTAAGTAGTCCTGCTATGTGTGCTGCAGTGGTATGCACCACTTCTACTAAAAATACAGCCTCTTTTCCCTCTTTGTGAAAACAGGGTTTCCCAGGGAGGAAGAAAAAACAAACAAAAAAACCCAAACAAACAAAAAAAGAAATCCCCACAAACCAACCAAGAAACCAAAACACACATGACTTCGATAAACAGGGACAACCTAGTCTAACTGTGAAAGAAAGAATAGGAATATGTATACACCCCTACTACCTCTTCAGTATGGAGCATCCTTTCTACTTCAGATAAGCCAGGAATCAGAACTCCCACAACTCCAAACTTCCAAAAACATCCTGCTCAGTTATAAAACCCACAGATGATACTTCCTAGTCAGGCTCTGCTTTTATGTTTGCTTTATAAAAGCATCCAAAACTAGGATTTTGTAACTGGCCATTAAAGAGCTAGGGTTGTGTGAAGCTTTCTGCTATAAATCCCTAATAAGAAATTTTAACTGAAGTGCTGGTGCTTTGTTAACAAAACAGTGACAAGTTATTTCATCCCTCAGATTAATTTTCTTTATATTCCTATGAGTCTGTAAAGCTAAACCCCAGAGGCTGACATTATAATTCGGATAATAAAACTAGCCACATTTGGCCAAAAAAACAGTATTACCATTCAGCAAAGCACATGGTACTCCAGTCAGTCAAATTCTCACACAAGACATTAAAAATATCAGCAAGTCACAGCCCAGTGAAAAACAAATTCACCAAGTTGCTAAACCCTTTGTGTTTCCTTTCACAGTGCTGCAACCTGACAATACAAGCCAAGGACTGACTCAGGGCCAAATTCTTATTCATTACCTACAGACTGTTTCTTCTGGCCAGCCTGGCTCCGCCTGCCCTCCAGTCACTTAATGGACTTGTAATGGCCAACGTCAGAACAGTTTGTTCCTTTAAGAGGAAATAAAAAGAAACCTAAACACACACAAATGCAAAATAAAACTCTTGTGATGACAACAGAGAGAAGAAAAGCTTCCTATCCCGGATGCTCGTTTACTGAAGCCTGCTTCTGTTACACAACATGATGTATGCCCGTGCAACTGGAGTATGCTCCACACAACCAGCTCGTGTGATCAGATGTCCAGCCTGTGTCCTGACATTCAGTCGCCCCCAACAGCCGCATTTATAGCCTTACGTACCTTCTCCACCCTCAATATTGTCCCTCTATTTTATTGGGACACCTTGAAACCTCAGTTCAAGTCCAATCTATTACCTTGTGAATATCACATTCGGGAGCTAAAAGGAATCTAAAAGATCTAAAAATAGAGGTAAAAACAAAAGTCTTACTGGACTGCAGTTTGTCCTTTACTCAACCTCTGTTTTATACTGAGAGCCAGCTTTCTTATTTCCCCAAAACATATTACATGCTTTCATGACAGAACTGTATTATTTCATTTTTGAAAGACAGAAGTTATCACACCCAAAACAACTGGCAGAGCAGCACTATGGTGAAGGTGCCCTGGAGAAGCATACAGAGTAGATTGGCAAATAAAGTCCAGAAATTTCCCAACCGTTCCAGCACAATTTACCAAGGGTCATCTCACATTTTAAGACTTAAATTTGCCTTCCCCACCTCATCATTGAAGTTCTCAGCAAAGGAATTTAGAAATAAAAGAAGGAATTAGCCTGTGGGTTTCAATTAAGACACTCGGAATGTAACCAAGTTAGAAACATCCCTTTGCCTAAGCCTTTAGGCAAGCAAGAGTATCTGTTGTAGATATCACCCCACCCAGGACTAGCACATGTCTGAAAGCCTGACAACATTAAAAAAGGATAGGGGAAAGTTTTGTACTCTTGGGCACAGGATTTTCTGGATAGAAAAAACATTCTGAAAGCAGTTTTCTGTCAAACTCAGACTAATTCACATAAGACAGACACAAAATCAGCATCTAAAATTTGAAGATGGAAGCCAGCGTGGGTTTTAGCCATACTAGCAAGAAGCAAAAAGCCAAGGAAGCCACAAAGCGCTGGAGTTCATGACCACCGAGCTCACAGAAGAAGCTCCTATGCTCATCATGATTACTGGGCCCTGACCAATCAACACAGAATAATCTTTATCAGCACCCCTGAAATTTTGGGTTGGACTTTTTTAGGGGGGAAATTATTTCGGTTTTTTTTAAAAGAAACAAAGTAAAAGTTAAGATTGTTCTGCAGATCTCCCCTTCTCCTGCAACACCATGGTAGAACAAAAGGCTCCAGCAACAAGTAATTTTCTTGTAAGCTTTCACCTTTACACCGTAGTTTCAATTTCACAATCAGTGGTGAGCATAAACTTTTCCTTCATTCCTTCTCCCTCTCCAAACTTCAGAAGCTGGGCAAAAACACAGTTATATTAATAGTGTCTTTAACAAAAAGTAATGACACCTGCCCACAGCAACTGCCACACAAAATTCAGCTGCCCGAATTGTAAATTCTTTGTACAGACCAAATTAGGAAATACAAGCACTGCCAGAAAACAAAAACTAAAAACAAACCAACCCCTGCACTTCACTCCCTGGTGTTTCCCAACAGCAGACACCATCAAAAACAAGACACCACAGGGGAATCATGAGGAACACTCCTGGTTCTCACCGAACTGGGCTGTGAGCCTAAGCTGAACTGCATTTATTTCACACAAAAAATAAAAAAAAATCACCCAGCAACTGATAACTTGAAGAAGACAACATCACAGCTGAAGCAATATTAAAATAACTGTTTCCATACCTCCCAGCAAAAGCAATCTCACATGCCACACTGCCGGCCTCAACACACTGGAATGATGTTTAAAAGAAAGCTAGAAAGGATAGCAAGCTCTGGGGAGACAGAAATAATGGTGCAGCACCATGCAACAGGCCTGACGACCCACACTGGTCAGCCAGTGATCCTGCTGTTTTCACGGGATGACAATGAAAAACCTAGAATTGGAGGCAGTGTCCCGACACCTACACAGGGCTGGTGCTCCAGGTGGTCTCCGTGGCCTGGCAAAACCACTTTTCACTCCAACAGCCTGAAATGGCTCCTTAATATTTGGTCAAACCAAGCAGCATCAGCTCCCAGTGCAAGACAGCCCTGGGAAGCCATAGTGTGTCATACAAATACATTTGTGCACATATTTTGCAACCTGCCAGTGATCACACATCAAGGTCTGAGGCTGCAAAAATTTCTGCCAAAATCTTTAGAGCAAAGGGTTACAATTATCAACAAGTGCACTATGGGAAAATCACTAAAACTTAAAGAT